TTGATTAATTATCTACTGTTAAAATCTCAGTAGCGTTTATTTTGTTATTATATTGCGTTTACGTAGACCCATGTATGTCTCTGGGTAACTGTCCCTCTGTCCATCGCAGTATAATTATGGAAGTCAAATAGTGGGGAGAAAACTAGTTGACAGTCTATTCGAAACCGTGGTCGGCAGTTAATGTCACTGTGACGGCCAAAAGTAATCTGCACGTTAGAATTTGGCGTTCTTAAAGTCTAAATTATGTATTCAGTAACTTACTCAACTAAATCCTGGTCGTTCAGCCCATCAATCCCTACGACGTTTAACAACTACTCGACGTCACGATCCACTGTCTGTTCATGCAACCGAAAGACTCATAGCCCCACATAGATACACCAACATTCACCTACTACCTTAATCACTATTGATTGCAACACTTATCACAGTCAGTACTGATGTCCGAGAATGAAAAATTGCTCGTTGCTGGGTTCCGACCGCGCTATAAATTTGCTTTAAACTCCACGCAAATGTTCGGGCTAGCCGGAAAAGAACTGCCCAAACTATCATTTAGCCTATCGGTCATTTTAACCCGAGTCTGATAAACTATTCGCCATCCCTTCGGGAATAACAGAAGACCGATCAGAGGTCACTAAGAAAAGTCTACCTAGAACCTGTGCTTTCATTTTCTTTTCTTTCTAACAATCCTCTTTTGCCCGTGTTGGGAAAGTCAGCTCAATGCGACATTTTCACGGCGTTCGATATTTGCATAGCGGTGAACTTTGATAATGCCTATGGTGATTGTTTGCTACTTTTTACACCGGAGTGACCCACACATATGCCCCATGTCAGGATTCCTGTGATTGATCGATCTGGGGCCTATCGTTTTTTAAGTCTTGTTTTATTGTATACACTAAATTATTTATTTGTATGTTACGTTGACCGTCCCGCCAGTTTGGAGAGAGGTCTTGAACGATACGGCCGTGCAGTTTCACGGTACTTTACTAACAGAAGCATTATCTGTTAGCTACTCAACAGAGAACGGGTTCCTGAGAAGAGTGTGTTTTCCCATACTTACGTCTACCTGATTTTCATGAATGCTTAACGAAGTAAGCTCTTCTCTAAAGAGATGTGGTCAAAAGTTTTCGAGCTTAATTTAATTTTCGTTTGTAGTAAAACAGGCCAGAACAGGAGGTTTTGATCCGTAACATTTAATAGTGTATAAAACTCCTTGGAGATCAAGAAACGTTGCAATTTGCACAATTTTGGCCTGTTTTTCCCTCAAAAAAGCAAATCTGAAAAGAAATCTTCGTTCCTAAATAATTTTTTACTCCCAAATTCATTTCAATAAACAACATAAGCAACCGTAATGTGTGTTAAACCACCTCATTGAATTTAGATTCCGGCATTTCATGAATTAGGCAATATATCATACCCCGTTCGTCTGTTATTTAACCTTTTGGCCATTGAGATACGGAATTTTGACATTTTTAACTTCTCAACGGGTCTTCGTAAGTTGTTTTGTTACAAGAGGCGTTTTTATTTACTTCCCGATGTTTCAAGCCATCGAATATAGTTCAGCAATATGCCTACGTTTTGGGAAGGTTGGCCTTTTGTGAGATGTAGTTTGACCCCTTTGTGCCTAGTAATGTTCATTTGTGCCGCACAGACGGATTTCGACAACAATCGGGTTGAGTCAAAAAACAGAATTTCATCCACAGTTAACTACTGTTTTGACACTCTATTAGGATCTTTTTCACTGCTTGTGTTTCAGGCAATGGACAATATGCCTGAATCGGACGATCCTCAGCTCCAACGACAGGTGGAAATCATTCAAAATCTAGTCGAATCCTACATGAAAATTGTTCACAAAACCCAACGCGATCTCGTCCCGAAGTTAATCATGCACATGGTAGTCAACGAGGTATGCATATTTTTCCATCTATTTCGTTCTCTTTTTGATTATCGAATCTGACTTTAAACCTGGAAAGGTGCGTCCCTGGTGGTTGGTTTTAGTCAGTTTCTTTGACCCTATTTACTGACGGCTATTTTTCTCGCCGAAGTTTTTGACAGCTTCTTTTTAAATCCGAAAGCACGGAGCCTGCCCTGCCCTGCCCGCACGCCCAAAACGTGCACCCGTCTTTCTCTCTTCCGAACTCAATCGTGGACGAGGGGACTTCGTCGGATAATTTACCATCGTTTAGTTA